TCTCTCTCTCTCTCTCTCTGTCTCATTGTGTCATACGGATTACTGTTAATTTATTATGCTGATCTGTTCTGTACGACATCTATTGCACGTCTGTCCGTCCTGGAAGAGGGATCCCTCCTCAGTTGCTCTTCCTGAGGTTTCTACCGTTTTTTTTCCCCGTTAAAGGTTTTTTTGGGGGAGTTTTTCCTGATCAGCTGTGATCAGTCATAAGGACAGAGGGATGTCATATGCTGTAAAGCCCTGTGAGGCAAATTGTGATTTGTGATATTGGGCTTTATAAATAAAATTGATTGATTGATTGATTGACTCCGCTGACGTCGCTCTGCAGCAGCTGTTCCCCCATCTTCTTTTTATATCCTTCCTTTCCCCGCCTGATGTTTCTCTGTAGCTCCTTCTGCACGGCCTTCAGCTCCTCCTTGGTTCCAGAGTTAAAAACTCTCCGCTTCTCCTTCAGGAGAGAAACAATGGAGGAAAAACTGGTGGTAGTGGTTGCTGGATACCCAGAGCTATAGGTTGTCAAACTGCCCCTGAGTCATCCTAAAACAAAATACATACAATAAATAAATAAACAGTAGTGGTTGCTGGATGCCCAGAGCTATACGACTTTACAAAGCACAGTTAGCACCATCTGAATAGAAAACAGCAGATAAGTGCAGTACTGTAAACGTCCATGATGGAGGAGAAGCTCCTGGACCAACTGGTGGTACTCCCCATGATCCTGCCTCTTTTTTAGGGTCTCATGTACCCACACAGATCTCTGTTTATCTGCTGACAGCCTCTCACCCTCAACCAGAGCTACAGACAGCACCCTCTGCCTCAACATGGCAGCAGCTACACACTGATTACTGCAGGATACACACAGTAAATAAATAAACAGTAGTGGTTGCCTGGCAACAATAAAAAGGCGCAGCAAGCTTTTTTTCCACTAGTGGCATTCAATTAAAAAAGGCAGTGCGGTGCACCTTGCATTTTGCAACGTGCAGAACTCTTTCTGTTTCTGTTCAAAGTCTTCCTTTTCTTTGACTGTTTATTGTGACCATAATGCACCAGGATACCAAGGCCTGTAGGGTGAAAACCCACCTGGCAACAAACCTGACTGTAATTTCCATGTAAAGACCCAAACCAGTAATGAGCTGTTCCCGCAGCAGTCTGTGTCTTCAAACCCTGACATTATAGCTCTGTGCTGTACAGCTCCACTGTCGTCTATAAACTATTTAAAACACACAGTGATGTGTTTCTTTATTACGATCAACGTGGGCACTGAAGTTAATTTGGGTTGAGACACCGCTGAAGTAGAAATCAAATGTCATGTCAAATGTTCAGAGAAAATGCCCGCCATCAAATATTTGTCTGACATGCAGATCACTTCAATAGTTCGCTGGCTGTCATTCGCAAACATTTGTTTTTCAGATAACAAAGTCCTGATGTGCCACAGGCAACATTTTAGTTGACACAGTTAAGCTAACGTTGAATCATACCAGTCTGAGAACAGACTCAAAGTTGCCGTCTGTTTGCACAGCCAAAACTCCCCAACTAATAACACCCGACACAGCGTCGCACAGTGTCGGCCTGGAATAACGTGAGCGACAAGTGTTGTGCGTGATAATCAATGGCAAAAGGAAACAGGAGAGGCACTTTTTCAAGCCGCTGAGTACTGCCATTAGCATCAGTCATCACTGAGTCATTTCAAACTCAACACTTCCTGTTTCTGTTTCAAATTAAAAGTCCCATATAATTTGCTCTTTTTTTTTTCATACTTTCATGTTTTCTTTTCTGATCAGCAATAAATAATAACCCAAACATTGCTTCATATATCTGACCTCGCTGACCCAGTACACATGTGACCTGTTTGTTTTAACCACCACTGGGACATTTTTCCCGCCATTGTTTCTCTGTCCCTTTTTTCTTTCGTACGCCCCTGCA